CATTGAGTAGACATGTACACATGGGAATCTCTACTTCCTTTTTCTTCCTCTTGTTAAAATGCCCACAAATGTGCAGGGAACACCTGCTGCTACTCCATCCATTCAGGACCTAAAAGTCTGAATCTAGGTTTTCAGATTTGAGAAAAAAGAAAAACTTTCTTTCTGAGAGATGCAAGTCCTTTTAGTTGTCAAACTTATAGAGATATTAAAATGAGAGTAGAATTCTGTTTCTCTCTCTCTCTCTTTTTTTTTTTTTTTTTTTTTTGGAGACAGAATTTCGCTTTTGTTGCCCAGACTTGGCTCACCACAACCCCCGCCTCCCGAGTTCAAGTGATTCTCCTGCCTCAGCCTCCCAAATAGCTGGGATTACAGGCATGCACCACCACGTTGGGCTAATTTTGTATTTTAGTAGAGATGGAGTTTCTTCATGTTTGTCAGGCTGATCTTGAACTCCCGACCTCACGTGATCCACCTGCCTCCCAAAGTGCTGGGATTACAGGCACAAGCCACCACACCTGGTCCTCTGTTTTTTGAACTATGTATTCGTCTTTTGAAGCTATTCACTATTGCCACAAGTAGCTGCATATTAATAATGCCACACTGGACACTTGTACCCTAAAACTTAATGGTGTATATCCAATCAATAATCAGTGTTATTCCTGTAAATAAATAGAAATTTCTGAAAAACAACTTTGTATCAACTCACTTTCTGTCCATCTTTTTTAGCCTTTACAAATCAACTTGTAATCACACTGCTTATCAAGTATATATTTCAGGCAACTTGAATATTTGCTCCCAGGTTACAGTCCTCAAGCTTGGCCCAAATAAACCGTCAACTTATATCTATGTTTCCTCAGCTTTTTCCTTTTAGGTAGACATATTATTTAGAATGTGCCAGAGCAGCCTCTATAAGGGGGATCTCTGCTTGCTCTAACACCCAAGGATGCAGAGCCAAGGTTGATCTCACCTGGAATCTGCACACAAAGTCTGGCCTGTGCCCAAGATTTACAAGACAGGGCCAGACTTTAAATCGAGAATGTATAGAAAACCAACAGAGGACATTTTCTGTATTGCGAGATGTCAACATAGACATCTTAAATCTTCCCTTTGAGAGTGTGGCTCTGAGCTTTTCAGATATTCTCCAGTGACCTGTTACAGGTATGTGAGAGACTCCAGGTATAAATACAATCTGATGACAGAATCTGTAAGTATAAACAGCCATCTTAGGAGTGAGAGATCAAGGCCGCAGAGTATCCAAAGCCATGACCACAGCTATACCTACCTGTAAAATGTGATACTGAAGTACAGTATTGTTATTTCTGTTACCCAAGAGCTAACAAATCAGGAGAGGTGATCTAGATTCTGGAGCTTAACCAGGGCAGTTCCATTTTCTATTTATAATCAGCCTGAGTCTCTTCTGCCTGACTTATCATTGGGTCATTAGCCCAGAGTCACTGGAAACCCTCTCACAATCACCTAGACATCTTTGAGACATTTGAGGATGTCCAGAGCAGAACTGTGTTAGGCTGACATGAGTAGTTAATTCTGCTTCTGTCTCAGTGTAAGAAAAACAAGCCATCCTGTGTTTGTTCCTACCCTCATACAAGAGATATCTTTGGTTGGTTACCAGATGAGAGTTTCTCCAGTTTCTTGGTACTTGGGTGAAAAACAAGAAGGAGATCCTGAGACTCAGACAGATAAACTAATAGCTTCCATTTCATATGGCCATTAAAAAAATAGATGAAGCAGTTACGGCCCCTACCACCCAGGAACTTATAGTCTAGACTAGCAACTGGATACATGGTTGAATTAAACATCAGCATATGGTTGGTACAATAAACAGATGTGTGCAGAAACACTTGGGCCTTATTTGGACTACTTTCTTTATATTCTTGTGACTTGTGTCATCACCTGAAGGGACGTTTATGAACAGAAGAATTGTTAATGCTTTTACCTTGGTAGAATACATATATTTTAATAAAATTGCCCTAGGAACCTTAAAAGACTTGTTTAAATTTCTTAATAGCACATGCCATAAAATTGACAGGACAGTGGCTAAAAAGAAATGTAAATTACACAAACTCTGGGATTTAAGTTTCTCTTAGGTAAGCTTAGGAAAAACAGAACTGGAAGCCTGCCTAGTAGCAGAGATAACAGAATTCTACATAGGGTCCCCTCCCTGGCTCAGTTCTGTTTAGATCCACCATTTTCGGATGTCTTATTCAGGTCAGGTCCCACCCTGGAGTCTTGCCTCACAGAACTGATTAAAAGAGATTGGAGTTTTGGCTGGTGAATCCTGCTGCCTTTCTAGAGCTGGTGCTCACAATTTTCTGAAACTAAAAAGGTAAATGGAACAGATAAAGTATGTTTTTTAGGGTGCTAATTTTTAAATGTTTTATTAAAACCAGTGTTGCAGAGACATTCCATTTACTAACTTGTTTTCTATTCCTGCAGATCCAGTAGTTTCTCCACAAGTCACAAATAAGTAAATATAAACAAGATTAGAATTTTTAAAAAATTATATTAAACTCTTCTGTATTCCTCTTATCTGTCTACATTTAGCTTTTATTCTATACATTTTTAAAAAATCAATGACAGAGAAACAGAAGAAGAAATAAAACTGTTGGGCCCTATATCTAAATCCTAGGAATTATTAAACACCTAGTACCAACTCCCAGGGTGTTATGAGGATTAAGTCACATAATGTGTTATTCCCAGCACAGTGCTCTGTAACATCCCTTTGAGCACAAAGTACCTACTTAGTAAACATTGCATAGTGCGAGTGTACATGTTGTTTTCCAAATGCAGACCTATTCAGACATTGCTGCTTTCTGTTTAGTTTGTAAACTTTAAAGAGCCAGGAAAAAAATATAATACTTTAGGATGCAGATTGGTTGTCTTTATTTGTACCTGAAGTATTTGTGTTGTGATAAGAGTGCTGAATGTAAGGGACTCTGAGCTGTGCCTGCTTTCTCTAACTAATGCTAATGATGAGCCCAGGGGAAGAAACATCAGCATTGACAGGAAACTTGTTTAAAACACTCATTTATGGACCCTTTCAAAACCTGCAGAATCACATTACATAGAGTGGGGCCAAAATTACCAAGTGATTTATAAGCTCGTTAACGTTTCAAAGGCAATGTTTAGCTAAGTGGTTATGAGCCCAGGCTTCTAATTAAAATTACATGGTCTATTTGCAGAAATCTCCAGTTGTGCCCTCCCCACAGGTTCTATTTATTGTCCTGGAAGCATCCATGTTGTTATAATTAAGGGCCTCTTGTGACTCTTAAGGTGAGGCCAGAATCAAGTATGAGACGTTTAAAATACGTTAATGGGAGTTAAGTTCCACCTTTTCACTAAAGGGTGGTCACAGGGCCTATTCTGTTTGGGTTTGGTAGGGACAGGACAGCGTGGCCAATATTTCCATTTATGTAGCAAAAATTGCTCATGTCTATGACAGGGGAGGGCACCTGAGGACAGGAAAGGAGAAACATTTTTAACTCCATAGGGCAGCTCATCGTTCTGGAATCTCTTCTCTTATAAAGAAAAGAAATGAATGGACTTTATCTGCACCTCTTGGTCCTTCTGCCTGTGGGTGTGGTGGTAGCAAGTAAGAAGGTAGTGGTGACACCTTTAAAGGCATATTCTCAAGATGTAGGTGTAATTTGTCCAGAGAATCTTATCCGAAAAGGAATCCAAGAGAAAGAGGAGAAAGAGAAAAAAAATGGCTTTTTTTCAGCTAAACATTTTTCAACTGAAGAGCCGTGTCCACTCTGCCTCCTGGAATGCCATGCATTTAGTCCTTGCAAAACTTTACTTCTCTACTTGTGCTTTTCATCCCTAATGAGTTTAACTACTTTTTAAAATTTTTATGATAGTGAAGAATCTCTGAAAAATAATTTCTTTCCTATATACCAGAGCCTTCTCTACATTCTCTACATCATGGATTTTTATATGCCATGCAGGACTCTAATGATGAATTTATGATCTGCAACATGAAAAATGTGCCATTTGGCTGGGCACGGTGGCTCATGCCTGTAATCCTAGCACTTTGGGAGGCTGAGGCGGGTGGATCATAAGGTCAGGAGTTTGAGACCAGCCTGGCCAAGATGGTGAAACCCTGTCTCTACTAAAAATACAAAAATTAGCTGGGCACGGTGGCACACACCTGTAGTCCCAGCTACCCGGGAGGCTGAGGCAGGAGAATCGCTTGAACCCGGGAGGCGAAGGTTGCAGTAAGTGGTGATCCCGCCACTGCACCCCAGCCTTGGCGACAAGACAGAAAGTCTGTCTTTAAAAAAAAAAAAAAAAAAAAAGCTCTCTGACACATTTTTTCACTATAGAGTTAATTATTTTTCTCCTCATTATTAAGTATCTTTATGTAGCTGATGTGCACCAATGATCACATTTAATCTGGCACCTGCCTTTCTTTCTTAGATTTTCTTTGCATATATCTATCTGTGAAAAATGAGGGCTCTCATCTTTGTTTATAGGCCAGAAAAACTGGGAAAAACACAGGCTCCTCCACTTGCTGAGTGTTTGACAAAATATTCTTTTGGGGCCAAAAACAGGCATTACTGGTGAGCTTGTCAAATTCAGAAACTCAGACTTTATTCCAGATCTTCTAAAATAAATATGCATAACAAGATGTCCAGTTAGTTGTACACATAAAATTTGAGAGGTGTCTTCTAACTCAACATGTCTTTTTCATCTGAAAAATGTACAAGACTTATTTTGTATGATTTAAAAAATAGCACTCAAAAATGTACATGTTTGTTATCATGTCCTTAATTTTATATTTTATTATCCAGAAAAGTATCTTATCTACACTGGCGTTGTGGATCTTATGCCATTCTTTTTTTCTCAGAGTTTGAGAATACATTATAGAATATTTCTGTGTTGAAAATTATTTTATTACATACGTTCAGTCATCCCTATAAGTTAGAACCTGTTCTCTTAACTCTCTCATTTCACCTTGAGTCAAATTAAAAATTCTGTCCATGGCCACTTGGGAAATATATATGTATCTTTGGTGTGTTTTTCAGGGATCACTGACATTTCGGGATGTGACCATAGAATTCTCTCTGGAGGAGTGGCAATGCCTGGACACGGCTCAGCAGAATTTATATAGGGATGTTATGTTAGAGAACTACAGAAACCTGGTCTTCCTGGGTGAGGAGAATTTTAATTAAACAATTTCTATTATATTGTATAGGTTTCATTTCTCTTTTCTGTAGAATGTGTTTTGGTGACTTATGCTTAGCAAAAATGAGTTTCAGATACCTGTTTTCTGAAAACAGGGATTTGTAAGTGTAGAAAGGAATTTTTTTTTTTTTTTTTTTTTGAGATGGAGTTTCACTCTTGTTGCCCAGGCTGGAGTGCAATGGCATGATCTTGGCTCACCACAACCTCCACCTCCCAGGTTCAAGCAATTCTCCTGCCTCAGCCTCCTGAGTAGCTGGGATTACAGGCATGAACCACCACACCCGGCTAATTTTGTATTTTTGGCAGAGACGGGGTTTCTCCATGTTGAGGCTGGTCTCGAACTCCTGACCTCAGGTGATCCGGCTGCCTCAGCCTCTCAAAGTGCTGGGATTACAGGCGTGAGCCCCTGCACCTGGCCAGAAAGGAATTTTTAAAAGATATTTCATTTTTACCTGAACTTTCCATATTTCTGAGAAGATCTGCATTTTTCACTCTAGATTAGTGAAAATTGCAGAAATTTAGTGCATAAAACATAGTTGCCACCACCAATTTTTGGTTCAGAAGTACCGGGTAGTAAAATTAAGGGACTGTACAAATTGAAAATATTTTCTAAATATTTAGAAATATATGTTATAAATTAGTATTGGGGGATAAATTTACTAGAATATTCTATTACATTCTCTTTAATGAGCACATTATTTGGGGAATATGAGCAATATTTATGTTATTTATTTTTAATAAAACAGGTATTGCTGTCTCTAAGCTAGACTTGATAGCTTGTCTGAAGCAAGGGAAAGAGCCTTGGAATATGAAGAGACATGAGATGATAACTAAACCCCCAGGTATGTGAGAGTGAATACAACAAACACCACAGATGAGAGGTCCAGAGGTCAAGGAGAAAGCCAGTTCTCAAAATGTGACCTGAGAAGATGTCCTCCAAAGGGAGTAGTTTCTGAGAAGACTGAGATTTTTTAAATTTTACTATCACGTAGAGGCATCTTCTGTCTTATGCTTTAAAGTTCTCTAAGGGTTCTATTTTCATTGTGGTGATTTCCCTTCAGGTTTCCAATGAGAGCCAAAGTCGAGTTCATGGCATATAAAGGACTCAACAATCTGACTGCTTTTCCATATTGGGGATGCACAAATATCTGTATAATTTTGAGAAACTATGTTAAAAGAACCTGGCTTTTTTACCTCACATTTGCTCTATCACTTACCATGTGATATGTCCAGTTTCTCTTCGCTTTCCCCTATGATTGTAAGCTTCCTGAGAACACGCCAGAAACAGATACCGGCACATACTTCTTGTACAGTCTGTTGAAATGTGAGCCAAATAAACTTTTTTCTTTATAAATTATCTACTCTCAGATATTTCTCTGTATGCAAAATATTACAGTCTATAATGTTATCTACATTTTCTGTTTTCTTAATCTTTTATATGAATTTTCTATTATTGAAAATGGGGTCTCAGTATCGGCAACTATTATGTTGCTATGATATTTCTTGCTTCACCTTTGTCAATATTTGTATATTTTGGAGCCCTGTTATACATACCTGTACACATAAATATAACAGTTATAGATTCCTGGTAAATTGATCCATTTTACTATTATATAATATTAATCTTTGTCTCATACTAGTACTTGACTTAAAGCATAATGTGTCCAATATAATCATGACTACCTCACCCAATTGTGGCTACTATTTGCATGAAATATAGATTTTTTTTTATTCTGTTACTTACAGACTATTTGACTCAGTGCTAAAATTGGTCTCTTGTAGAGAACATATTGTATGCTTTTTTTCTTAAGTCATTCAGGCATCTTCTTTCTTTTCCTTTTAATTAATTAATTAATGAAATAGGGTCTCATCTCACTCTGTCAGCCAGGCTGGTTTGCAGTGGTGTGATCATGGCAGTGAGGTGCAGCCTCAAGCCTCTCAAACTCAGACAATCCTTTAGTTTCAACCTCTTAAGTAGCTGGGTTACAGGCCCATGCCATTAAACCCGGCTAGTTTTTTGTTTTTGTTTTTGTTTTTTGGTAGAGACAGGCTTCCGCTTCGTTGCTCAGGCTGTTCTCAAACTCCTGGAATCAAGTAATCAGCCCACCTTGACCTCTCAAAGTCCTGAAATTACATTTCTTTTTATTAAGTAGTTTAATAAATTTATATTTAAAATGACTTTTTTTTTTTTTTTTTGAGACGGAGCCTCCCTTTGTCGCCCAGACTGGAGTGCAGTGGCCGGATCGCAAGCTCCGCTTCCCGGGTTCACGCCATTCTCCTGCCTCAGCCTCCCAAGTAGCTGGGACTACAGACGCCCGCCACCTCGCCCGCCTAGTTTTTTGTATTTTTTAGTAGAGACGGGGTTTCACCGTGTTAGCCAGGATGGTCTGGATCTCCTGACTTCATGATCCGACCGTCTCGGCCTCCCAAAGTGCTGGGATTACAGGCTTGAGCCACCGCGCCCGGCTAAAATGACTTCTTAAAGAAATAAAGTTACTCCAGGCGTGGTGGCTCACGCCTGTAATTCTAGCACTTTGGGAGGCTGAGGCGGGTGGATTACTTTAGGTCGGGAGTTGGAGACCAGCCTGACCAACATGGAGAAACCGTGTCTCTGCTAAAAATATAAAATTAGCCGGGCGTGGTGATGCATGCCTGTAATCCCAGCTATTCGGGAGGCTGATGCAGGAGAATGGCTTGAACCCGGGAGGCGGAGGTTGTGGTGAGCAGAGATTGTTTCATTGCACCCCAACCTGGGCAACAGCAGCGAAACTCTGACTCAAAAAAAAAAAAAAAAAAAAGAAAAGAAAAGAAAAGAAAAGAAAAGAAGTAAAGTTACGCTGGGCGTGGTGGCTCATGTCTGTAATCCCAGCACTTTGGGAGACCTAAGTGGGTGGATCACGAGGTCAGAAGTTTGAGACTAGCCTGGCCAACATAGTGAAATCCCGTCTCTACTGAAAATACAAAAATTATCCAGGCATGGTGGCATGCTCCTGTAGTCCTAGCTACTTGGGAGGCTGAGGCAGGAGAATTACTTGAACCCAGAGGCGTAGGTTGTAGTGAGCCGAGATTGTGCCACTGCACTCCACTCTGGGTAACAGAGCAAGACTCCATCTCAAAAAAAAGAAAAAAGAAAAAAGAATACAGCCTTTAAATCCTTTAGCCAGAATTTTAGATTTTAAATGGACAAGAACTTAATGATTGAACAAAGCCGAGACTGTCTTTGCTTCTTGTTAATAAGCTAGCCATTTCAAAAAGCACGGCAATTATGCTAAACCATTGAAAAGATGTGATTTTGATGAATTCTATCCCATTTCAAAATGTTTTTTCTAATTGTTACTTTTATCGTGTTAATCTAAGAGAAATTATCTGCATACTGTTTATGCATTCAAGACATATTAATATTAAAGTGTTTAAAGTTTAATATTATATGACAGCATAGTAGAATCCTCTAAAATGAGAAGTTCATTATTAATAAATTCATTATGTTTTTGAGGTTTTACAATTGTGAAAACAAATAAGATATGCTTTTTCATGATAAGCTCAATTCTAAGAAGTTATTCACTGGTCTCCATGTTATTTCTGTAATGTGTAGTGTAACAGTGGGCCACCAGAATGGTGCAGATACACTGATTTAATCAGAATAAGAATGAGTTCAGCTTTCTTGGCTGACTATTGCTATCCCAGAAGTTGATCATTCACTATGACTTAGTAACTGTTGCTTCATCATGCCAGAGAGCCCTTTCAGCCAGATTGCCCTTTTCCTTCCATTGATGTGCTCATGTTGTGGTCTCCTCTGTTTATCTTAAGCTATCCCAGATGAGAAGTGATTATTTCTTGCATGAAGGAGATCCCCTTTTTATCTCTGCCATGGGATCCTCCCTTCCTCCCTATTGGAAGCAACATGTGGGAGGCAGGAATGATGACAATATACAAACATGTTTCCTGCCATGTGGCCACCAAGAGCAGCTTACAATATGCTCCACCTAGAAGTCACTTACTTCCAGGCCAGCAGGGGTGTTTTTCTACCATGTGTCTTTCTTTTTAAAGCACCTCTGATTAAGTTTAGCCCAAACAGGATAATCTCTCTTTTGATGAACACAAAGTCAATACATTAGCAACCTAATTTCATGTGTGATTTTCCACCACAGTCACTTTTTTTTTTTTTACACGCCAAAGGAGAGGATTATACAGCAGGTGTGCAACAGATTGGGAATCCTGGCGACCATCTTAGAATTTTGCCTCCCCACCTGAATAGACGATTAAAGTAGTCTTGTAGTTTCTTTTGTTATCTAAGTAAACAAAGATATCATTTACAAATAATAATTAACTACTTACCTATTTTATTACAAATATTAACATATTTTTTCTGGCTTATTTCTTTTTCATGTACCATTTTATACATTTACACACATATATAACAATGAAAATGTATTCAATTATTCAATGTGTTAATTTTTATTAAAAATGATTGTTAGGCTGGGCGCAGTGGCTCACACTTGTAATGCCAACACTTTGAAAGGCCAAAGTGGGTGGATCATCTGAGGTCAGGAGTTTGAGACCAGCCTGGCCAAAATGGGGAAACCCCATTTCTACTAAAAAATAGAAAAAATAGCCGGGCGTGGTGGTGGGCACCTGTAGTCCCAGCTACTTGGGATGCTGAGGCAGGAGAATTGCTTGAACCTGGGAGTGAAGGTTGAAGTGAGCCAAGATCGTGCCACTGCACTCCAGCCTGGGTGACAGACTGAGACTCCATTTCAAAAAAAAAAAAAAAAAAAAGTATAAATACACAATGGAATACTATTCAGCCATAAAAGGGATAAATCTAGCCCTTTAAAATAATATAGATAAATTTGGAAGAATTATGCTAGCTGAAATAATACTGACACAAAAAGGCAAATACTGCATGATCTCATTTATATGTAAAATCTAACAAATTCTAACTCAAAAAAGTAGAAAGTGGAATAATGTTTACCTGAGGCTGGGTGTGGTGGGAAGGAAATAGGAAGTTGTTGATCAAAGGGTACAATGTTTTAAATAGAAAGGATAAGTAGATTTCCAGATCTATTGCACAGCAGGATGACTACAGTAAACTATAAAGTACTATGTATTTCTTTTTTTTTTCTTTTCTTTTTTTTTTTGAGACGGAGTTTCGCTCTTGTTGCCCAGCCTGGAGTGCAATGGCACGATCTCGGCTCATGGTAACCTCCGCCTCCTGGGTTTAATCGATTCTCCTGCCATAGCCTCCCGAGTAGCTGGAATTATAGGCATGCACCACCACGCCTGGCTAAGTTTGTATTTTTAGTAGAGCCGGGGTTTCTCCACGTTGGTCAGGCTGAGTCTTGAACTCCCAACCTCAGGTGATCCACCTGCCCACCTTGGCCTCTCAAAGTGCTGGGATTACAGGCATGAGCCACGGTGCCTGGCCAAGTACTGTATTTCAAAATAACTAAATTTCAAATGTACCACCACAAAAAAGATTAGTAAGCAAGTTGATATACGTTATTAAACTTGACTTATATTATTATATTATATGCATATATTGAAACATCACATTGTACCCCATAAATTATACAACTCTGATTTGCCAATCAAAACTACTATTACCCTACTGGGTTTTTTTAAAATGAGAGAAACTTTAAGAAATTGCACCAGAGAAAAAAGTGTTCGTTCACCTTAAAATTTCAGAAAACATATACATTTTATTTCAAATAGCTTGTTCAGTTAGTGATGTAAGTAGTAAACTTTTAAAATTATGAATAGTCTGAAGCAACAAAGTATGTTGATTTTTAATGTTCAAAATAATATAATACCTTAAAAGACAGACTGTAAACAACTGTTTGGAGTAAAATCTCTCTAAATTTGTAAATAAATAATTTTTTTCACTTGTTAGAGAAAAAAAGTTATTTAAATATATATACGTAAAATACATTCAGGTCAGGTGCGGTGGCTCACGTCTGTAATCCCAGCACTTTGGGAGGCCGAAGCGGGTGGATAGCCTGAGGTCAGGAGTTTGAGAGCAGCCTGGCCAACATGGTGAAACCCTGTCTCTACCAAAAATACAGAAAATTAGCTGGGTGTGTTGGCGGGTGCCTGTAATTCCAGCTACTCGGGAGGCTGAGGCAGGAGAATTGCTTGAACCTGGGAGGTGGAGGTTGCAGTGTGCCGAGATCACGCCTCTGCACTCCAGCCTGGATGACAGAGTGAGACTCTGTCTTTAAACATATAAATGAATAAATAAATTTAACCAAAGAAACAAAAATCATAAGTTTATTAAACAAGCAATGAAACAATTTGCTTAATTATCTAATTATAAAACTGACACTCAGCATTTAAGTGGTTGTATATCTAGTGTTACTAGTGTCCTAGACAGCAGTTCTCAATGAGACATTTTTTCATAATATTTATATCCATGCTGTATGTGAATATATGGGAATTTGCCAAGGATAGTGCTGGAAACTTTCAACTACTATTATAGCCCCAGATGGACAAATTAGAATGAATGTGGGTTACAAACCAGTGGTATGGCCGTCTTGTTTTCAGGCTTAACATTTGTCATGATCTACCAGAATCAAGAAATAAGAGCTAGGCCGGGCGCGGTGGCTCAAGCCTGTAATCCCAGCACTTTGGGAGGCCGAGACGGGCGGATCACGAGGTCATGAGATCGAGACCATCCTGGCTAACACGGTGAAACCCCATCTCTACTAAAAAAATACAAAAAACTAGCCGGGCGAGGTGGCGGGCGCCTGTAGTCCCAGCTACTCGGGAGGCTGAGGCAGGAGAATGGCGTAAACCCAGGAGGCGGAGCTTGCAGTGAGCTGAGATGCGGCCATTGCACTCCATCCAGCCTGGGCGACAGAGCAAGACTCTGTCTCAAAAAAAAAAAGAAAGAAAGAAATAAGAGCTAATATATTTCCTGTACACTAGCTAGGTGCTGGGCATTTTTCTGGCACCTTTATTTGCATTAACTTCTTTAATTTTACCAAAACCCTAGGATTTAGACACTGTTATCCTTACTGTACAGCTGAAGAGCCATGCAGAGAGAGGCAAGAAACTGTGTTTAGGTCATACAACCGGTAAGTGGCCGAACTGGGATGCAACAGGAACAACCAAATACTGAGTTTCAATTTTAACCATTATGTTCAACCCCATTTCAACCCAATGCTTGTTTTTATTCTTGACCTATATTTTGGCTTTAAATTTTTTTAATTTAATAGAAATGCATAGGAATTTAAAAACCACTTCTTTTTACCCATAGATAGTATTTACAACTTGATTTTTGGTTTAAAGTATTCCTTACTGGCTAGGCACAGTAGCTCATACCTGTAATCCCAGCATTTTGGGAGGCAGAGGCAGGCAGATCACTTGAGGTCAGGAGTTTGAGACCAGCCTGGTCAACATGGTAAAACCCCATCTACTAAAAATACAAAAAATTAGCCGGGCATAGTGGCGGGCACCTGTAATCCCAGCTACCCACGAGGCTGAGGCAGAATTGCTTGAGCCCGGGAGGTGGAGATTGCAGTGAGCTGAGATTCCGTCACTGCACTCCAGCCTGGAAACAAAGCGAGACTCCATCTCAAAAAAAAAAGAAACAAAGAAAAAAAAAGTACTCATTGCTAAGCTTAGCACACTTTGGGTAAACGGACACTAACAATGGTTTTCCTGTCATGATTTCTAGGAGCCACCAATTTCACTTTTGAAATATATTGTATTTTTATATTAAAAGCAAGAATGAGCCTATTACTATATAGAATATCTGTGGTATCCATGTACATTATTATGTATTGAGTGGTCTACAGTTTCTGAAAGTTTCAGAAAGAGTATAGCTTTTTTTGATTGAATAATTTAAGAATATTAAGTCTTCACAGTGAATAGAGTGAAATTACTGATTAGTCACTTATAATGCGGCATTAAATGTTATTTAATAAATACATGAAGCTTTTAAAACTCATTTTAACAACTTATTTCTATTGCTATTTCACTTTTATTAGAAAGAAATATTAACATTTACATTACTTACAGGCCTATGAATTTTATTCAAATCTAAACATAGTGCTAATTTTAGGAGATCTGTATGATTAGTATTACAAAGAGCCTTTCCTTTATTTACACGTAGAAGATAAATAACTGCTTTCCAGGAAACACAAAGAAGCAAATTTGATTCACAATTAAGTGCTCTTAAAATATTAATACTATCATCTAGATGAAACTTTTAGATATTTGCATTTTCAAGTTGTTTAACATATAACAATTCAGAAACTAGTTTTTATGAACTATAATTAACTAAAAATATAAAGTTATCAATTTTTTCCAGTTTTGAAATACTGTCATTATTCCAGTTGACATAACATTAAATTTCAGAATCTGTGGCTGTTGAAACTAGAAAGTCATGGTTGACTCTGCTTTACTTGCTGTCTTCTTATTGCACACAAACACAGCAGCCCAAAGATCAGAAATGTTACACATTTACTGTAAACACAGCAGTAGCTTTCTAGGGAGAATATGTATGTGTGAGCATGTTAACTTGAAATTGACAGCATCTTTTGTTGAAGTATATATTTCTATATGAAAAACAATGGGCTGGGTGCAGAGGCTCACGCCTGTAATCCCAGCACTCTGGGAGGCCAAGGCGGTGGATCGCCTGACGTCAGGAGTTCGAGACCAGCCTGAGCAACATGGTGAAATCCCATCTCTACTAAAAATACAAAAATTAGCTGGGTGTGGTGGCGAGCACCTGTAATCCTAGCTACTCGGGAGGCTGATGCAGGAGAATCACTTGAACCCAGAAGGCGGAGGCTGCAGTGAGCCAAGATCATGTCATTGCACTCCAGCCTGGCCAACAAGAGCGAAGTCCCATCTCAAAACAAGAAAAAAGAAAAAGAATTAAGCACATATAGAATCAAAAAAAAATTCTAAAAATTCCTTCTGACCCATTATTTTTTCCTGAGAATGATTGTGATGGAATGGTTGCAGCAGTGTGCTTTTAACCCATAATCTCTGTTTCATCATTCTTTGGCTATGGTCATGAGACTTCTATGCTTTTTTTTAAGAAAAATATTTTCTTTCGTTAACTCAGTAATTTAGCATGATCTTCACAGCCTCAAATTTTCAAAAATGGTTCATTCTTTTTAAAAAAAAGTGATTAAATCACCTATCTCAAAAGAGTAACAAATTAGTCTAGTGTATAGTTAATACATACAAAATATAGATGTAGAGTCTTTTTTTGGTTATACGTTAAGTTCTAGGGTACATGTGCACAATGTGCAGATTTGTTACATATATATACATGTGCCATGTTGGTGTGCTGCACCCATTAGTTAACTCATCATTTATATTAGGTATATCTCCTAATGCTATCCCTCCCCCTTACCCCCACCCCACAACAGGCCCCAGTGTGTGATGTTCCCCACTCTGTGTCCAAGTGTTCTCATTGTTCAATTCCCACCTATGAGTGAGAACATGCAGTGTTTGGTTTTCTGTCCCTGTGATAGTTTGCTCAGAATGATGGTTTCTGGCTTAATCCATGTCCCTACAAAGGACATGAACTCATTCTTTTTTATGGCTGCATAGTATTCTATGGTGTATATCTGCCACATTTTCTTAATCCAGTCTATCATTGATGGACATTTGGGTTGGTTCCAAGTCTTTGCTATTGTGAATAGTGCCGCGATAAACATACGTGTGCATGTGTCTTTACAGTAGCATGATTTATAATCCTTTGGGTATATACCCAGTAATGGGATGGCTGGGTCAAATGATATTTCCAGTTCTCGATCCTTGAGGAATTGCCACACTGTCTCCCACAATGGTTGAACTAGTTTACAGTCCCACCAACAGTGTAAAAGCATCCCTATTTCTCCACATCCTCTGCAGCACCTGTTGTTTCCTGACTTTTTAATGGTTGCGATTCTAACTGGTGCGAGATGGTGTCTCATTGTGGTTTTGATTTGCATTTCTCTGATGGCCGGTGATGATGAGCATTTTGTCATGTGTCTGTTGGCTGCATAAATGTCTTCTTTTGAGAAGTGTCTGTTCAGATCCCTTGCCCACTTTTTGATGGGGTTGATTTTTTTCTTGTAAATTTGTTTAAATTCTTTGTAGACTCTGGATATTAGCTCTTTGTCAGATGGGTAGATTGTAAAAATTTTCTCCCATTCTGTAGATTGCCTGTTCACTCTGATGGTAGTTTCTTTTGCTGTGCAGAAGCTCTTTAGTTTAATTAGATCCCACTTGTCAATTTTGGCTTTTGTTGCCATTACTTTTGGTGTTTTAGTCATGAAGTCTTTGCCCATGCCTATGTCTGAATGGTATTGCCTAAGTTTTTTTTCTAGGGTTTTTATGGTTTTAGGTCTAACATTTAAGTATTTAATCCATCTTGAATTAATTTTTGTATAAGGTGTAAGGAAAGGATTCAGTTTCAGCTTTCTACATATGGCTAGCCAGTTTTCCCAGCACCATTTACTAAATAGGGAATCCTTTCCCCATTTCTTGTTTTTGTCAGGTTTGTCAAAGATCAGATGGTTGTAGATGTGTGGTATTATTTCTGAGGTCTCTGTTCTGTTCCATTGGTCTATATCTCTGTTTTGGTTACTGTAGACTTGTAGTATAGTTTTAAGTCAGGTAGTGTGATACCTCCAGCTTTGTTCTTTTGGCTTAGGATTGTCTTGGCAATGCGTGCTCTTTTTTGGTTCCATATGAACTTTAGAGTAGTTTTTTTTTTTTTTTCCAATTCTGTGAAGAAAGTCATTGGTAGCTTGATGGGGATGGCATTGAATCTATAAATTACCTTGGGCAGTATGGCCATTTTCACGATATTGATTCTTCCTATCCATGAGCATGGAATGTTCTTCCATTTGTTTGTGTCCTCTTTTATTTCGTTAAGCAGTGGTTTGTAGTTCTCCTTGAAGAGGTCCTTCACATCCCTTGTAAGTTGGATTCCTAGGTATTTTGTTCTCTTTGAAGCAATTGTGAATGGGAATTCACTCATGATTTTGCTGTTTGTCTGTTACTGGTGTATAGGAATGCTTGTGATTTCTGCACATTGTTTTTCTATCCTGAGATTTTGCTGAAGTTGCTTATCAGTTTAAGGAGATTTGGGGCTGAGACAATGGGGTTTTCTAAATATACAATCATGTCCTCTGCAAACAGGGACAATTTGACTTCCTTTTTCCCTAACTGAATACTCTTTATTTATTTCTCCTGCCTGATTGCCCTGGCCAGAACTTCCAACACCACGTTGAATAGGAGTGGTGAGAGAGGGCATCCCTGTCTTGTGCCAGTTTTCAAAGGGAATGCTTCCAGTTTTTGCCCATTCAGTATGATATTGGCTGTGGGTTTGTCATAAACAGTTATTACTTTGATACATCCCATCGATACCTAGTTTATTAAGTTTTTAGCGCCCTTTCCGGCAGTGACGACCTACCCACATGAGAACATGCCTCTCACAAAGGATCTCCTTCATCCCTCCCCAGAAGAGGAGAAGAGGAAACACAAGAAGAAACGCCTGGTGCAGAGTCCCAATTCCTACTTTATGGATGTGAAATGTCCAGTATGCTATAAAATCACCACGGTCTTTAGCCATGCACAAACAGTAGTTTTGTGTGTTGGCTGCTCCACTCTCCTCTGCCAGCCTACAGGAGGAAAAGCAAGGCTTACAGAAGGATGTTCCTTTAGGAGGAAGCAGCACTAAAAGCACTCTGAATCAAGATCAGTGGGAAACCATCTCAATAAACATATTTTGGATTTAAAAAAAAAGAGTTTTTAGCATAAAGTGCTGTTGAATTTTGTCAAAGGCTTTTTCTGCATCTATTGAGATAATCATGTGGTTTTCGTCTTTGGTTCTGTTTATATGATGGATTACGTTTATTGATTTGCATATGTTGAACCAGCCTTGCATCCCAGGGATGAAGCCCACTTGATCATGGTGGATAAGCTTTCTGATGTGCTGCTGGATTCGGTTTGCCAGTATTTTATTGAGGATTTTTGCATCAATGTTCATCAGGGATATTGGTCTAAAATTCTCTTTTTTTGCTGTGTCTCTGCCAGGCTTTGGTATCAGTATGATGCTGGCCTCATAAAATGAGTTAGGGAGGATTCCCTCTTTTTCTATTGATTGGAATAGTTTCAGAAGGAATGGTACCAGCTCCTCTTTATACCTCTGGTAGAATTCAGCTATGAATCCCATCTGGTCCTGGACTCTTTTTGGTTGGTAGGCTATTAATTATTGCCTCAATTTCAGGGCCAGTTATTGGTCTATTCAGGGATTCAACTTCTTCAGGTTTAGTCTTGGGAGGGTGTATGTGTCCAGGAATTTATCTATTTCTTCAAGATTTTCTAGTTTATTTGTGTAGAGGTGTTTATAGTATTCTCTGATGGTACTTTGTATTTCTGTGGAATCAGTGGTGATATCCCTCTCTTATTAGTCTTACTAGCAGTCTATCAATTTTGTTGATCTTTTCAAAAAACCAGCTCCTGGATTCACTGATTTTTTTGAAGGGTTTTTTGTGTCTCTATCTCCTTCAGTTCTGCTCTGATCTTAGTTATTTCTTGCCTTCTGCTAGCTTTTGAATGTGTTTGCTCTTACTTCTCTAGTTCTTTAACTGTGATGTTAGGGTGTCAATTTTAGATCTTTCCAGCTTTCTCTTGTGGGCATTTAGTGCTATAAATTTCCCTCTACACACTGCTTTAAATGTGCCCCAGAGATTCTGATATGTTGTGTCTTTGTTCTCACTGGTTTCAAAGAACATCCTTATTTCTGCCTTCATTTCATTATGTACCCAGTAGTCATTCAGGAGCAGGTTGTTCAGTTTCCATGTAGTTGAGTGGTTTTGAGTGAGTTTCTTAATCCTGGGTTCTAGTTTGATTGTGCTGTGGTCTGAAAGACAGTTTGTTATGATTTCTGTTCTTTTACATTTGCTGAGGAGTGCTTTACTTCCAACAATGTGGTCAATTTTGGAATAAGTGTGATGTGATGCTGAGAATAATATATATTCTGTTGATTTGGGGTGGAGAGTTCTGTAGATGTCTATTAGGTCTGCCTGATGCAGAGCTGAGTTCAAGTCCTGGATATCCTTGTTAACTTTCTGTCTCGTTGATCCAATGTTGACAGTCAGGTGTTAAAGTCTCCCCTAATTATTGTGTGGGAGTCTAAGTCTCTTTGTAGGTCTCTAAGGACTTGCTTTATGAATGTGGGTGCTCCTATATTGGGTGCATATATATTTAGGATAGTTAGCTCTTCTTGTTGAACCGATCCCTTTACCATTATGTAATGGCCTTCTTTGTCTATTTTGATCTTTGTTGGTTTAAAGTCTGTTTTATCAGAGACTAGGATTGCAACCCCTGCTTTTCTTTTGTTTTCCATTTGCTTGGTAGATCTTCCTCCATCCCTTTATTTTGAGCCTATGTGTGTCTGCACATGAGATGGGTCTCCTGAATACAGCACACTGATGGGTCTTGACTTTATTCATTTGCTTGCCTGTGTCTTTTAATTGGGGCATTTAGCCCCTTTACTTTTAAGGTTAATGTTTTTATGTGTGAATTGATCCTGTTTTTATGATGTTAGCTGGTTATTTTGCTCATTAGTTGATGCGGTTTCTTCCTAGTATCGATGGTCTTTACAATTTGGCATGTTTTTGCAGTGGCTGATACTGGTTGTTCCTTTCCATGTTTAGTGCTTCCTTCAGGAGCTCTTCTAAGGCAGGCCTGGTGGTGACAAAATCTCTCAGCATTTGTTTCTCTGTAAAGGATTTTATTTCTCCTTCACTTATGAAGCTTAGTCTGGCTGGATATGAAATTCTGGGTTGAAAATTCTTTTAAGAATGTTGAATATTGGCCCCCACTCTCTTCTGGTTTGTAGAGTTTCTGCCAAGAGATCCGCTGTTAGTCTGATGGGCTTCCCTTTGTGGGTAACCTGACCTTTCTCTCTGGTTGTCCTTAACATTTTTTTCCTTCATTTCAACCTTGGTGAATCTGACAATTATGTGTCTTGGAGTTGCTCTTCTCGAGGAGTATCTTTGTGGTGTTCTCTGTATTACCTGAATTTGAATGTTGGTCTGCCTTGCTAGGTTGGGGAAGTTCTCCTGGATGATATCCTGAAGAGTGTTTTCCAACTTAGTTCCATTCTCCCTGTCACTTTCAGGTACACCAATCAGACATAGATTTGGTCTTTTCACATAGTCCCATATTTCTTGGAGGCTTTGTTCGTTTCTTTTCACTCTTTTTTCTCTAACCTTCTCTTCTCATTTCATTCATTTGATCTTCGATCACTGATACTTTCTTCCACTTGATCAAATTGGCTACTGCAGCTTGTGCATGCCACGATTTTCAGCTCCATCAGGTCATTTAAGGCCTTCTTTACGCTGTTTATTCTAGTTAGCCATTCGTCTAATCTTTTTTCAACGTTTTCAGCTTCTTTGTGATGGGTTCAAACATTCTCCTTTAGCTCGGAGAAGTTTGTTATTACTGATCATCTGAAGCCTTCTTCTCTCAGCTCGACAAAAGTCATTCTCTGTCCAGCTTTGTTCCATTGTTGGCAAGGAGCTGTGTTCCTTTGGAGGAGAAGACGCGCTCTGATTTTTAGAATTTTTAGCTTTTCTACTCTGGTTTCTCCTCATCTTTGTGGTTTTATCTACCTTTGGTCTTTGATGATGGTGACGTACAGTTGGGGTTTTGGTCCATTCCAGACCCTGTTTGCCTGGGTATCACCAGCAGAGGCTGCAGAACAGCAAATATTGCAGAACGGCAAATGTTGCTGCCTGATCCTTCCTCTGGAAGCTTCGTGTCAGAGGGACACCCAGCCATATGAGGTGTTAGTTGGCCCCTACTGGGAGGTGTCTCCCAGTTAGGCTACCTAAGGGTCAGGGACCCACTTGAGGAGACAGTCTTTCCATTCTCAGATCTCAAACTCCATGCTGGGAGATCCAGTACTCTCTTCAAAGCTGTCAGACAGGGACGTTTAAGTCTGCAGAAGTTTCTGCTGCCTTTTGTTCCACTATGCCTTGCTCCCAGAGGTGGGAGTCTACAGAGGCAGGTAGGCCTCCTTGAGCTGTGGTGGACTCCACCAAGTTCGAGCTTCCCAGCCACTCTGTTTACCTACTCAAGCCTGGGCAATGGTGGATGCCCCTTCCCCAGCCTTGCAGTTTGATCTCAGACTGCTGTGCTAGCAGTGAGCGAGGCTCCATGGGCGTAGGACCCTCTGAGCCAGGCGTGGGATATAATCTCCTGGTGTGCCATTTGCTAAGACCATTGGAAAAGTGCAGTATTAGTGTGGGAGTGTCCCGATTTTCCAGGTACCATCTGTCACAGCTTCCCTTGGCTAGGAAAGGGAATTCCCTGACCCCTTGCGCTTCCCAGGTAAGATGATGCCCCGCCCTGCTTCCACTCACTCTCCGTGGGCTGTACCCACTGTCCAACAAGCTCCAGTGAGATGAACCCAATATCTCAGTTGGAATGCAGAAATCACCCATCTTCTGCATCACTCACACTGGGAGCTGTAGACTGCAGCTGTTCCTATTGGGCCATCTTTGAACCTCCCTTAAATCCAGAGTCATTCATTTTAACTGCACACTTGGGAATAAAACACATCTTGGGCTATAGGCCAAGAACTTTCAAAGATAACTTACAAATTGTGGGGAGACCTGGTACAGAAACATTTACCCCTATGCCTTAAGGAGTAACACTGCTAATTCCAACCATTAACTTGGAACTACAGAAATATAACATGTCATTATACCACAAAACATCTTGTTATTTCTATTTTAGATTCAGGGAATACACATGCAGATTGGTAGCATAGGTATACTGCATGTTGTTGAAGTTTGGACACTTAACTATCCCATTGCCCAAGCAGTGTACACTACACTTGATAGGTAGTTTTTCAATGCTTGTCTCCCTTTCTTCTTCCATCTTTTTAGAATTCCCAGTGTTCACTGTTTTCATCTTTGCTTCCATGTGCACCCAATGTTTACCTCCCACATATAAGTGAGAACATGTGTTGTTTTACTCATCTGTTAAGTTGCTTACATTAATGGCCTTCTGCTGCATTCATGTTGCCACAAAAGACATTACTTCATTATCTTCTGTGACTGCATAGTATTGCAGGCTGTATAAGTACCTCATTTTTCTTATCCAATCTAAGATTTATAGGCACCCATTTCTCCTGAAGTCAGGATGAAGTTGAAACAGATATCTGTTTCTCCACAACTTCAACATGTTGATTTTTGACTTGCCATAACAGACATTCTAACTTGTGTGAAATTGTATCACATTGTCGTTTTGATTTACATCTCTGATGATTAGGGATGTTAAGCATTTTTTGAATGTTTATTGGCAACTCATCTCTTCCTTTGAAAAGTGTTGATATTTTCTGCTTTGTCAAATTAAATTTCTTATAGATTCGATATATTAATCACTGGTATGCACTCTGCAAATATTTTATTTCATATCGTAGGGTATCTGTTTCCTTTGTTGATAGTTTCTTTGGCTGTGCAGAAGCTCTTTAGTTTAATTAGATGCGAATTTTTGATTTTTATTTTTCACACTCACTTTTAAGATGTTATTCATAAATTCATCCCAGAGGCCAGTGTCTAGAATAGTCCTTCCTAAATGTTCTCCTAGGATTTGTGTACCCTGAAGACTCACAGATAAGTCTCTAATCTATCTTGACTTATATTTTCTATATGGAAAGAGGTAGGGGTCCACTTTTTTCTGCATATGACTAACCAGTTTCCC